TCTTTTTTTTTTTTAATTCCTATCACAACGGGGGCTAATATGTCCCCTCTGTGATGGCATTAGACAGGTACTCGTTATAGATATATTGGGGGTCTCTGGGTATTAGACCCCTAATGTATCTCCTCCCCTCTGCTCCAGCCAACTGAACACTGTGTTTGATCTACTTACCTGGCTTTGCAGCTGGGAATTTGACAACTCGGAACCCCAGAAGTGCTTAAGAAGCTGAGCACTTTCGGGTTCACACTCTGCAGAGGGAATTGGAGAATGGTTGTTCCTTGATGTCCTCCTGCTCACCATCCTGACATTGTTTAATGTGGTCCCAGGCTTCCAGGAGGAGCGGGAGAGCCCAGGTACCATGGAGGAGGGGGAGCAGACACCCTGCGAGTCCTGTAAAAGTGATTGGGCGGCTTTACTCCCACGCAGATCACTTTTACTAAAAGCCGAGAGCTGGCTCAGAAAGAAAGTAACAAACCAACGGCTGCTGCAGTCATGACTGTTTTGGCCATTTCAATTCCTGGGCATATGGGACACACCCAGGGAGCATTTAACTGGTTAAGGTCGGATACATGTGAAAAGCATAAGTGGGGATGTTTTTACTGGTTTGGATCTAAAAAACATTTTTATTGTTGTAAGTAGGGATGCACCGATACTAGTATCAGTGCCAAGTATTTGGGCGAGTACTCACCCAAATGCTCCGATGCCTAACCCAACCAGTCAAGAAGCTAGGTGGTGAGTCATAACACGGCGCCCGGCTCCCTGACTGGCCGGGCAGCCAGCTCCACCAAGTCACGAGGGAGCAAGTAGCCGACTCTCTGGCCCATCAGTAAGCCGGACAGCGTGTAATGATGTGCTGCCTAGCTTCTCGATGGGTCAGAAAGCCGGATGGCGAGTCATTACCCGCCCACCCCCTGGCTTTCTGATTGGCCAGAAAGCCGGCTTCATGCTCCCTCATCACCTGGTCAGGAAGCCGGGCGCCATGTAAGGACTCGTTGCCTGGCTCCCTGATTAGTCGAAGCTGGCCAATCAGGAAGCCGAGCAAAGAGTCATTACACGGCTCCTGGCTTCCTGATTGGCCAGAAAGCCGGCTCCATGCGTCATCGTCATTTGGTGATGGAGCATTGAGATGGCTTCCATGCTAATCAGGACCGCTGGTATCGGTATCCGGTATCGGCGAGTACTGATCCTGAAAAACCGGTTATCGGTGCATCCCTAGTTGTAAGAAATGTACGTTGTGCTGTGACAGATTGAGGAGGTACTTTAATACTGCTCTGCGGACAGTTTCTTCATACAATTCAAAAGCAGGAACAGATCACTCGGCTTCTACATGAACTGCTCATTATTCTCTATGGCCAGGCCCATTGTATACACGCCGGCAGGGATATGAAACCTGTAGCACCATAAAATGGGAAACAATGCTCCGCAATTAACAAGCACAACAGATGAGCACACTCTTTCTCTGTCTTCTCAATAAATATGAATCCAGTTAAACGTTAAAGTAAAATTTGTGTGGTTGGCTGATATCTACACCATGCCGTTACCAAGACTGTAATGTATTAAAACAATTTCAGTTTGGGTGTGCTCCAGGTCACTGCATAATCCACCGACATCTTGTATTTGTTTAAAGAAGAACTCCAGGAATTTAAAAAAAACGTACCCTTGCAGTTGGCCTACACCTGCAATGCAAGTGCTTGTTTTGTCTGGGAGCTCAAATAAAGCCGATATACTCACCTGGTTCTTGGTCCCACTGGGCTGTTAGAACAGTCCCTTCTTCCCTGGGCGCTGGCGATCTAAAGGCTACTGACATCACATCTTGTGCAGGTCCATTGACTTGCCTTAGACATGAGGATGCCCATGAACATGCCACAGAGCTGCGGGTGAGAGAGGGGAGTGCCAACCATCGTGGGACTGCCGATCAGGTGAGTAAAACTGGTTTATTTGAGCCCCCTAGACAAAACAAGCACTTAATCCTTGCTGTGGGACTACCCTGGCACTGCAAGGGTTGAGTTATTTAAATTCATGGAGTTCTGCCTAAATTTCTACTTCATGTATCCCGTGCTATGCAGCTTCCTCCCTCTGCTTCACTTCACCATCGGATTCAAAATTCCAAGACGGGTTTAATTCTGATTTACACGCTTACGGAGTATATTTCCCTTGTGGTGTAGCCGGGTTTGCTGTGTCATGTGAGTCAATATTGTTTCTGTGGATTTCCAGGCGGAATTGGGAGACTTGGAAACGTGGCAAGAAAACAGGAATGCGTGGGAGGAGGAGGAAGATGCCGCATGGCAGGCCGAAGAGGTTTTAAGGTAATACAATTTGGTGATAATTATCTGATGCTGATAAATTGTTTGGTCCGGACATCGAGGATTGCAATGACCTCTGGACACAAAAAGGTTAAAGAAAATGAAAATTGCCATTGTTGGTAATGGCTGAATATGGCTGGAAAGGGTAGAGGTCGATAGGCGTACAAACAAAAATTCCTATGGATTGCGCACTCACAGGCTTGGGTAGCATTGGAAGTGTTACATAGACTTAAAGTGACACTAAACTCAGGAGTGAAATCTTAAAAATACATTCAAGTACCTTTTTAAATAATAACAAAAATGTTTCTTATTTGTGTATCACTCGGCTGTAGATCCTCAAATCATCTCTGAATTGGTGCTGACACTGTCCTTCCTTCTGGAGGGTGGCTACTTTTGTTCCCCATGGTCCCTGTGTGTGTGTTGTAAAGTAGTCACTGCTCCAAGCTCACTGCTGTGATGGACTACAATCTGAATACAAATGAGTAAACTAAACATGAGATTGTAGTCCATCACAGGAGTGAGCTTGGAGCAACACACACAGGGACCATGGGGAACAAAAGTAGCCCCCCTCCAGAAGGAAGGACAGTGTCAGCACCAATTCAGAGATGATTTGAGGATCTACAGCCGAGTGATACACAAATATGATACATTTTTGTTATTATTTAAGGTACTTGAATGTATTTTTAAGATTTAACTCCTGAGTTTAGTGTCACTTTAAGTCTATGTAATACTCACAATGCTACCCAAGCCTGATTTGAGGGTCTGCAGCCGAGTGATACACAAATAAGATACATTTTCGGTAATAGTTGGGGTACTTGAATGCACTTTTAAGGTTTAACTCCTGAGTTTAGTGTGGCTTTAATGGGAACCTGTACTGAGAGAAATACAGAGGATGCCACTGATGTCTTGCTTCTGAAAAGGTCAATTGCCTTACTAACCCACTGCTTCCCATGGCACTGACCTGGAACAATGATGCAGGTGAAGAAGTGATATAGAGTTTCCTAAGTCTGCCTTCTTGGTCAGTGACACAGAAAGTACTGAAACGATTGATTTAGCATGATACTCAGATCTTTTACTATCATGGTCTCTATCACAATAAACAAAGAGCTCCCAGTTCACTCATGAGTCCTCCGGGGCAGCCACATCCAACAGCCTCCCTGTTAGTTTGTAATAGCAAAGTAAAAATGAGAGCGTGTCAGGCACTTTTTTTAAGATCCTACATTTTCCTTTTCATGAGGTTACAGATATAACTCGCTCACCTGGATACTTGGCTGGGATACATAATCTAGTGTTCCATAGCACTACATATCCCCTTTCAAGTTTGCAGTTGTCACCTGGTGAACCGGATTAAATGCGTTGTCCATATGTGGGCCTAGTTTAGAGGGTGTTTTTTTAAGTGCAGCTCTACAGCATTTTAGGCAGTATCTGACTTGATCAGGGAGGAGCTTGTATGACTGGCAGGTGGGATGAGGGTAGGGGACAATACAATAAAAGGAATAGGAACACTAGGAGCCAATCAGGATCTGCTCCAAGTACATGTGCTGCCCTGAAAGAGAGCAGAAATGATGTGCGTGTGTGTGTGTTGCTCCTTTTATTGTCCAATCAACAAGCTCTGGTTGGGTGAGGTGATATTACTGTGTTCCTTAACCGCTTGAAGACCAGGTGTTTAGACCCCCTTCCTGGCCAGGCCATTTTTCAGTATTCAGCGCTGCAGTACTTTGATGTTTATTCCGTCATGCAACGCTGTACTGAAATGAATTTTATACCATTTTTTGGGGGACAGATAGGGCTTTCTTATGGTGGTATTTATTCCCCACTGGGGTTTTATTTTTTACTATAATAAGGAGAAATTACTGAAAATTTTGAAGAAAAAAAAAAGTTTTTTTTGTTTACATTGTTATAAAACAATATTACCCACTTTTTTGGTAAAATATAAAAGTCAGGGTCACGTCGGGTAAATAGACACCAAACATGTCGAGCTTAAAAATTGCGCGCACTCGCAAAAAACTAGCATAACCAAAATTGGCCATAGTCGATGCTTTAAAAGTTTTTACAGCTCATCAGTTTAGTGTTATCAGTGATTGATTGGCCCTAGAATTATTGCTCTCATTCCGACGTTCGCGGCGATATGTAACATGTGCGGCGTAATGGGCGCAATCGTCGTTTTCGCAGCTATGCGCACCTGACGCATGTTTACATGCGTGTATGTAGGGGTGGGGACTTTAATTCTTTATGTGTAACTTTAAAAAAATTTGGGGGGAAACTTAAATTTTTTTTTCCTATCTTTTTTTTTTCCACTTAGCAATAAAGTTATCACAGAAGGGGCTGAGAAACCCCTCCTATGTGATAGCAAAAGAGGTGACAGGTCCTCTTTATGGAGACATCAGGGGTCTCCAAGATCCCTAATGTCACCTAGGACCCCCTGATGAAGCAGAGATCTGCTTCATCAGCTTCTCTCCAGCATCTGAAGCCGGAGAGTGACACAAGAATGCGGAAGTGATGTAATATACAATACTTCTGCATTCTGACAGCGGAGAGGGGACCGGAGGGAGCTCGTGTACCGACCTTCCTCTGATCCCCTGTGACAGAGGCACTATGCTGGTCCCGGGCTCACACCGGAGCCCGGGACCAGCTAGCCGGGTGGAGGGGTGCATGTCACGGGACCTCATACAAGCGATCCTCCGGCTCTATAGTATATTAACGGGCATCGCTGCCTGTTTTCAAATAACGGGCATTTCCCGCTCGCAGATCTAACAGTATGTGTATACACGCCCAGTTACATCCAAGAAGCTCCCGGCTGGCCGTGTATACACAACGGCCGACCGGGAGGTAGTTAAAGAACAATGGATTAACCCTTGCAGTGGGACTAATCCCACACTGCAAGGGTTAACTGCTCGTTTTTGTCTAGGTAAAAGAAAGTTATACTCTCCCAATCTCTGAGCTGGCTTTTTCTTAGACCGGTCCCTGGAGCCTCTCTTCCCCCCTCTTAACCTTTGTAGTGGAGCTACCCCAGCACTGCAAGGGTTAACTGTTTCCTGGAGTTCTTTAACTCTTGAGAGAAAGATAATTTTGCCTGGTTGTGCAATTAGGTGTATAAATGACCAGCGTGGCTAGACAGAATTACAATTTATTTGGCACATAAGGGTATGTCACATACGTGTTTTATTTGTGTATATATAATCATTTGCCAATCAAAATGTTTTGAAGTTCTGCTTTCTTTGAAATGGGGAGCAGGTTGTGTTCTGTAACCGTAATATAGAAAGTGGTGTCACCTACCTGGCTGTGCAGGAGTATACTAATAACCAAAGTGGCCAGACAGAATACCAAATCCTTTGGTACATAAGGCGTGTCACATGTGTATATTTTCCGGTCAAAGTGACGTTCTGTCATCTTTTGAATAGGGAGCAGAAACTTGCAGAGCGCGAGAAGAGGAGCGCAGAGCAACAACGGAAGAAAATGGAGAAGGAGGTTCAACGGCAGATGAAGAAAGATCATAGCAAAATGGGTGTGAAGTTATCGTAACACCCGACCAGAGATTGATTGGAGGGGCGTGACGCCGATAGACATTTCTACGCGTTCTCCAATGTTTTCACGCTTACCTTGGGCCTGGATGATGATAAACTTTTTGACGATCCGGTGGCTGGGACAGGCACCGCGTCTACCTTTTTAAGACTTTTGACTCTACAGCAGATCACAGCCGCCTCAGACTCTGCATGAGACTTTTACAATGAAAGGAACACAATGGTGTAAATAATAATTCCTTGGTGGAAAATCTACTGCTCCCTAATGCTATGTGCAAATATGTAATTACTGAATAAAGAATTTTAAATAAACATCAGTAACGATGTCTGTTGGTTTTTCTCATGACGTTTGCTGCTGGAAGGTCGGAGAAGCTAGGTTTTTATAATGGAGATTTCTTCAAGTGTGCTTCAACAAAATTCAATATAGCGCCATGTGCCGCCATGTTTAATTCTTGCATAATAAGCACAATACTCAGTGACAGAGGAAATCTGTGTATTCTTAGTATTTCTTCTCTTCCTGGAAGGGGGAATTAGACCTAGACTAGGCATTGCATTGGGGGTGAGTGTCCTAGTAGCAGGCTTTGACATGTGCTGTTATGCAAAACAGCATATCTGTATCAAAAGTGGTACATGTCCCACACTTTAGTTATATGTATAATACATACATCTTTTGTGTTGTGCACTGGTCATGCAAAACTATACTGTACAGATACTGAAGTAAAAAGACATGCTCCTTGAGCATCCCACCTCATCCAGGATTCTCATTGTGGCCATAGCCAGAAAGTAGCGGGCTGCCGATAAACAGAGCTTGATACCACAAAATGATTTAGGAATCTATAGATGACTGCTAGTCATCAGCAAAGGAAGGGTGTAGGTCAGAGGTAGGCAAACTGGCCCTTCAGCTGTGGTGAAACTACTAATCCCATAATGCGTCTGTGGCTGTCAGAATCTTGCCTAATGCCATTTCCTAATGGGATTTGTAGTTGCACCAGAGCTGGAGGGCCAGGGTTTGACTGCCCCTGGTGTAGGAAAACAGTGGATGATGGGTTCCTAGAAGCACTTGCCATAATGAAGTATTGCTTATTATGGCAAACTTGCCTCTATTGGCTCTACAGCAGTGTTGATAGCTCTGTGCTTTTCATCGCTGCCGTCTTTCTTTACCCAGTGGAATTTAAAGAATAACTCCTTTTCAGATCATGTTTCACCAACATTGTGTGTGACATGAAACCTGGTCATGTCCCCCAGCCTCCTCACTTAGCTGAATTATGGGGTCCCTCTCCCCACAGGCTCCTGTCAGTTTCTTTTTAAATCAGCCCAAACTGATTTAAAAAGAGCAAATACGAGTTCTGTTTGCCACATGGCAGTGGGACTTATGGTTCTAAATGGAGAACAAGTACGATGTAATTGCACTTGTAGTCCATTGATACTTCCCCCCCTGCAGTCCATTGATACTTCCCCCCCCTTCCCATGTACCAACGTCTGGACATAGGTATGGTGAGGAGGATTCTGCAGGAGCTTGAGCAATGTTTTGCTAACTCCAGTGCAAATAAAAATTATATAGAATGCCTTTAAAATTCCCACACCTGGGTTCTGCAGTTATATTCTGGCTCCATCCCCCTGTATGGGGTTGAGAGTACACAGCACGTTTTAGTGCTAGAAGAAAGTGAAGATAAGACTTGCTCTATTCTGCCAAAAACCCCTACCCCCTAGCATTGTTTACTTCAGTTCCTCTTCAAATGGAAAATATAGAATACATGTCTACACAATCTGTTTTGTGACGTTAATTCAAAAATGACCTATTTGCAGTCAGCTAAGATTTACTGGCTGGCAAAAATACAACAGCTACACTGTTTAAGGTCTATACATTATGTACAGAACACCCCAAATTCTCATTTCATGTGTGATGTTTGCTGCTATTAGTGTATGCAGAGCTTGATCTAAAACTTCAGCCATCACCAGGATTGTCCTTGAAAAGACCAAATTTTTGGAATACTTGCAACAGGTACAGCCCATCCTGAGAAGTAGAGCTGAATCGCACTTATCTGAAGCCCAGAGGTAGCCAAACTGCTGCCCTCCAGCTGTGATGACACTGCAAGTCTGACAGCCACGGCCTACTGAGGCAGATGCATGTTAGTATTTGTAGTTTCCCCCACACCTGGAGGGCCACAGTTTGGCTACCCATGATATAGCCAAACATATCCTCCTCCAATCATTGAATTCAGGTATTTCCAGTGACTGCTACAGCATACAAAGACTTTATAGACCAGGGGTAGAAAACAGCACTCAAGGTGTGGTAAAGTTACAAATCCCGTCATGTCTGTGGCTTGCAATACCATATCGGTCTTGAAGTTCCACAACAGCTGCAGTGCTGAGGTTGCTTACCTCTGTTTTAACCAATTGTGCACTTCCAACCTTGTGTTTAGTGTTTTCTGTTCCAGCATTACAGTGCCCCATGCACAAAGCAAGGTCCATAAACACGTTTTGAGGCGTTTGGTGTGGAGCAACTTGAGGGCCTGAAGAGCCCTGACTTCACCCCCACTGAACACCTTTTGTATGATTTGGAATACCGACTGCAAGTCAGGTCATGCAATTGTGACCTCACAAAGGCTCTTACGGTGTAATGAGCACACATTCTTTTGGCTTTTTGGATGTCAAACAAGCTCATTCTAGTACATGGCAGTTCCATCTCAAATCTGGTTGTGTTTTCCAGCAAACATCCAGCTAGTAGGATGGCCAGTAACCTAAGAATGTGATATGATAATACATCTCCCAAGAGCAATTTGAAGGACAACATTGACTCATTTGCTTAATTCCCTCCACCTCCTGAGTGTAGCCTATCCGGTACTTACCCCTCAGCCCCGATCCAAAGAACCTCCAGACTGCTCTTCATCACAATGTGCAGGTACACTGCTGCCCCATTCATTCTATGAGATGGCCGTACTCAACAGGACTTCTGTAGGCTATCATAAGTACAGCTGTCCCATAGAAATAAAGGGGGCTGTGGCAAACTCATGCAGTGTAAAGAGCAGCAGGCTACAGGTTTTCCTTCCCGGGGTGTTACCGGAAAACAGCACTGGATTGGGGCTGATGAAAAGCACATTGGGCAGAAGTCACTGGAGGGGGGTGGAATTAACACATTCACCAAAGGCCTAATAAAACTGAAAACACTTTTTCAGATGGACGGGTTGAACTCTTACAGGTTTATATATCTTCCTTGTGACGCCAGGACAAAAAAAAAAAGGGGAGGGGGGGAGGCTGTCACCAGGACAGACTAGGTTGAACTCTTATGGGTTTTTTTTTTGCTATTTCTGTCCTGATAAAAGGTATTTCACATCACCTTCTGTCTTGATGACATGGTTAGAGAAGAATGGACTGGAAATCTCTCCACTGGGGACACAAACAGCACTAAAAAACCTGACCGGTTGTATCCTTTCCCACCTCTTACCAAATGTTTTTCCTAATAACAATTAATGCACAGATACTGGTTGTTTTTTTTTCACCAGGGTTGTTTGGTGACAGCAATTGCTTCAATTGGGGCTCAATGGGGGGAAAAAAAATTCTATTTCCCCCATTCAGGCTAAAAACTAGGGATGTACAGATGCCAAGTATTTGGGCAAGTACTCTTACTCGCCCTTATGTTCCGATGCCTAGCCCGATACTTCTGGCATGAGGAAGCCAGGCAGCGCTGGCTCCATGCTCTCTCGTCACTTCACGGACAATCAGGAAGCCGGGCAGTTTGTAATGACGAGCTGCCTGGCTTCCCGATTGTCCAGCTTCTGACGGTGTATGACCAGCTTTACTTAATCCAATCCTAGTAACAAAATTCTGACAACTCCATCATTGGCATACAGCAGATGCAGGGAAAATATTTGACTAAGACATGTAAAACAACGTCATCGGTAGACAAGGTCAGTTTATTGAATCTGTACACACAGGACATGGGACAAGCGAAATGTGTGTTTGCATACAGCAACGCAGGAGAAGTACATAATAAATAAGGAAACCGCCAATTTCTTTTTTAAATCATTTACTGTACACATTTATAAATACATCTCATCATGCTATGTTACGCTGTAAACACTTTGCAATAACCTCTGGGATATACAGGCACATCTCTCGGTATGAACATGCTCTGACACAATGCAGGTACTAATAGAACAATACATTACCATAGGTAACAATAAAACTTCACAGATAGCCAAGCATGCCTACAGCAGAATGTGGGGCTCTATGAAATGAGGCAACTGTGCTAGGAAAATTCAGAACATTAGGGACACTCGTACATTGTATACAAAATACACCAACAAGTAGACTACATTCAAGAGAGTCTCCACCCAACTACAGATCAGAAGTGCCTCTGGAAACAGTTTCAAAGCTGTCCCGACAACCATTATACTGGTTCAATTGGAAGAACTCTGACTCTTAAGGTTTTGTGATGGGTTGTGTCAGCTGAAAGGCAGAGGAAAATAAATCAGGAACAAAAAAACAGTAAAGCACATCATTGAAGAGGCAACCATCACCAGTTTCCAGAAGCAGCATAGGTGGTAACAAATAAAATACAAATTCCACACAAAATCCATTTTTTTTTCAATCATGGGTAGACACATATGGGTTAAATGACCCATTGCCTTCTTTCATCCCTTTGAGACTCAAGTAACAAGCAAACCTTGGCAGAGTTCCCAGCTTTGCCCCTGCTGCAGATATTGTGACATCACATAAAGGCAATTTTAGTTATCCAGCTGGATTCTGGACGGTATATAATTAAATTACAGATTCAGTAGCAAAAGTTTGAGGCCATCATAGTGGTGGCAGGCCGGCAAAACAGGTACTTTAGGTGCAGACATCTTGGCACCGAAGCCCCAAAGAGACTAAAGAAACCAGTGGGCAATTCAACATGCCGCCATACATCTATAACATCTAAAATCTAAGTCGTTGGTGGAATGACTACTTAAATCTACAGCTGGGTGGACAAACCCTTTAAACCAGAGTACTCAGAGGTCAGTGAATGTTCCCAGTGCAGGACAATAATGGGAAAACCACACATTAGGCTTAGCTAAAGAACTCCATATGAGCAGCAAGGCTGCAATAGAAGGAATTGTGGAATTTAGAAGTGCATTTTATTTAGAATAACATTCAAAAACTTTTGATCTTTAGTGCAATATTTGTTGGGGAGAAGAAAAGCTTTTTTTTAATTTTATTTATTTATTGTGCTTCCAAAAGAGAAGCCAAAAGCGAGAAGTGATAAAGTGCAAATTAAAAAAAAAATAAAAAAAAAATATAGGTGCAAATAAACAAATTGAATTTATTCAATTTGATAAGTGCTCTGTGTAAGCAAAGGGCAATAAAGGGGAAATGGTTTTTCCTAAACTTTATAATCTAGCAGCAATCCACTTATCTACAAAAAAAGGCCATGGAGTAATAACGGCATCAATCCATGACCAGAGAATCCATTTTGAACCATCACTTGAAACAATATCGGTGGTGGTTGTAAATGATAATCAAAAGGACTCATCCTTACTACTGCCGTACATCTAACTGGTATCCTTTGGCAGTAAACTTAATTCCAGCGTGAAGTTAATGCGAGTTGTATTTGCTCTACTTCAATGTGAACATTGTTGTTGCAGGGGCATCGTGCAATCAACAGAAAGTGACCAAGAGCAACACTCAAAAGGCATAGTGCTGGGATTATATCAATATCTTAGGAACCGTGTGGGTCTAAAAGATTACAAGAAAGATTAAAACTAATTAGAAGGTTATATACAGCTTCCCCTTTAAAGCATATAGGAAAGCATGGTTTCCTATTAACATTCTAGAGGATTGAAATTCTAGAAAAATGTAGGATTTAATTATAAGGGCTGTAGGATGTTTTCCTAAGAGTATGTAAGGCTATTAAACAACAGCCACGCATCATAGTGCCAATGTTATACACAGGGTCTGGATATCCTCTTCGTGAACTTAATGCCCATAAGACTGTAGGTATAATGGGCACAGCCACCGCCAAAAAGTCGGTCAAAAAATGGTCACTCCAGTGTCTTTTCACCACACACATGTGTTGTGCATCTCTGCTTGGCAACCTTGGCAAAGGTCCTTCAAAGTCAAGTTCTTTCATAGCACGGTTTGAGAATGTAGGGATATCATTCTGCAGAGAGTCGGGAGATAAAAGGATAGCAACATTTGGATCATCAGGTGTCAAGTCAATTAGGTTTGTGGAACCAGAACATTTGGCTTGGAGACCACGCATAATGGAAGATGATCTATCAACAGGGTGGGCAGTATGGGGCTTAAACATCTTGAGGATGAGATTTTCAAGGTCAAGGCTGTAAGGAACAACATCAGTTTGGATTGCTTGCTCCATCCACTGTGAACCCTGGGCCCACTTGGAATGTACTTTATCCATTTCTTTCTCAAAACAAACTGTGGATTGCAGTTTGGTAGAATTCAGGTTTGCCAAGCTGCCAAGATCACTTCTTGTTTCCATCAAGACCTCATCGTAAAGGTCATCTCTGTTTGCCAGGTCATCATTCAGAAGGAGATCACAGTCTGCCATCTCCTCAGAGGCTTGGTCCTCCATTAGAAGTCCTTCTGACATCTTATCATAAATTGCACTTTCAGTCAGAGAAGCTCCTGGAGAGTTACAAAAATAATCCAAACACTGTTCATCTCTAAATTCCCCATCTTGAGCCAATTCCATACTACGCAGAAGGGTTTCCAATTTTCGGTTCTGAATGTTTATGTCTATGAAGTATTTCTGAATACCTTTGTCTTTCTCAGCCAAGCTGTTTTTCATAGTTTCAATGAACTGCTTTAGCTGCTTGATCTCCTTCCGGGCTTCTTTTAGGGCGAGCTGGGCCTCAACACGATGGCATTCCTCCTCAATCCAGTCTTCTCTCATACGAGCCAACTGAGATTTCAGGTCTTCTATTTCTGTTTCCCTGTAATGTAAAAAAGATTATTAGACTACAAACAAATAAAGCCTTGCTTACATAACTTGGAAAGGCCAAAGTCTACTTCGTTAAAAATGCATTTATAGATGCTCATATGAGACTGAAGGAGTGGCAATACCAGATTTCACCAGCAGATGAAGCCTCAAATTGCTATTTCAGTTCCCAGTAAAACTGGACAGCTTCAGGAGGTGGGTTCTCTTTTGTACATAAAGAACAAAAAAAAGGCAAAGTTTACACAAAAACAGAAGACATCTAAACTCAAATCACACATGCGTCTATGGTTGTTCACTAGATAGACGCATGCTGCAAATCTGGTAGCCACAAGTGACATGCAACTCCCCCAGTTTCAGTTGAAGCCCTACATCGGAATGGTAGAAAATGTAGTTTAACATACTCCAGGTCTTTCAGCGGTTGACTTCAATACTCAGGATTCTTAGGTCACACAGGGATAGCTGTACGGGCTCCTGCGGCAAGAACCAGCGGATTCTTGCAGGAGGAATAACAGCTGGGCCCTTACAGCTGCAGCCACTCTGCCCGTTCAAGTGACTGACAGGCTGACAGCAGAAGCATCCATATATAATTGTAGATGGAACCACTGTGGTTAGGGATAGAGGACTGCCTCTGAATGCAGACAGATTGTGACCAGGGGCAATCCTCTAACCCCAACCATAGATAATCGTTCTATCTACAATTAAATTCGAACAACCACAGACAGATGCAGCTATATGGACCCAGCTATGATTTTTGCTGCAAGAAGCCGCATGTTTTTGCCACGGGAATAAGCATTCACAGCTTATAGTGCTGTAAAGCATGTGGCCGGAGTCAGAAGATTCCACACAGACATCTAAGAAGACTCGCACACAATGAGCTGCTGCAAAACCGAGAGGAGAAGGTGATCAAAGTAGAACATGAAGGAAGGATGAATGGTTGAATGGGCAAAGCATGGATTTGCTTTAAGTCATGGTTTGCCAAGCAGGAGCCATTTAGAGGGGTTCCAGCTTGAAGATCCCAGTGACAGGAAAAGTACACTGATCATACCATGTAATTTCAGAAGTGCCACTATGTTTTCTAATTTAATTCTCTGACTACAGAATACGGTGTCTAGTTCTGGAGATTTTAATTCAAGATACTGAGATAGAGCAAGCTTAATTAAAACAGCTAACACACCGGGCAGACAGTAATTTTTGGTCCATTTAAAATTAGCACAGTGATAATTTTAACAATGTGACTAAAGGGGTGTGAAATGAACCTAGTGAGCCCGATGACAGACAACAAAAACTGTGCCAAGTCTTAAGGATTACACATATCTAGAGAGACTAGGATTTCATATGCACAGAAAATATTTGAGGAAAGAAGGGAAAGGGAAAACATGATTGTAACCTTTAAATACATTCCAGCTTGCCATACAAGTGGCGATTTGATGCAATTGAACTTTAATTGCTTTTGCAATTTTGACAAGATGGAATTGAAAGAAATAAAATGGTGGTTTTAATGGATGCCAAAGGAGATGGGATTGAAATTGCCCCAATCACACCTGATGAAAAATCCAATTACTTTTTCCACATTGCTGTTTTTATTCTCGTCTTCCAGTCGATCCTGCAATAAACTGTATTGAAACAGTCAATTAAATTGTCCTGCTTCAACTACACAATTGGCCAAATTCTGATTGTTGAGCCAACTCTTGCATGGTAAATTGCTTAATGGCGATTAATTCGGTTTCCCAAATTGATGGAAAGTTGTTGAATTGGACTGAAAATTGCCAAATGTGTGTCCAGCGTCAGGGTGTAAGGCTGAGGAGGGCAGTATTTACAATGAAGCGGCGTTGAAGTATATGGAGGAATGATCACAAACTAGCAGGGGTAAAGTTCAAGAGCAAGGTTACAAAGTATTACGCCAAATTTAATTTTGTAAAGTCAATCCAGAGTAATTTTAAACATGCTTGGAATAAGCATAGGTCTATCATAAACAAATACAATAAAAAAAATTATGATATATATATCTATATATATAT